GACAGGGAAAATGTGGCACATATGCACCATGGAATAGTATGCAGCAATCAAAAACGATGAGTTTGTGTCCTTTGTAGGGACATGGATGAAACTGGAGACCATCATTCTTAGCAAACTGACACAAGAACAGAAAATGAAATACCGCATGTTCTCACTCATAGGTGGGTGTTGAACAATGAGAATACATGAACACAGGGAGGGGAGCACTACACACTGGGGTCTGCAGGGGGGAATAGGGGAGGGACAGCAGAAGGTAGGGAGTTAGGGAGAGATAGCATGGGGAGAAATGCCAGATATAGGTGAAAGGGAGGAAGGCAGCAAATCACACTGCCATGTGTGTACCTATGCAACTATCTTGCATGTTCTTCACATGTACTCCAAAACCTAAAATGCAATTTAAAAAAAAGAAAACATATAAATGTGGAAAACAGAGTCTGTTGATTGTAATTTAATAACCAAATTTGTCATTTAAATAAGAGACTACCTTCATCTTCTGTGACAGTGTTTTGAGCTCTGGAAGTTTAGCACTGTTAGTGTAGAACTAGGACTATATGCCAGAGAGAGAGAGAGAGGGAGGGAGACAGATTGTTCCAAAACGGAATAAGAATAATTCATAACTCTGAAGCAGCACAATTTCAAGTTTAAAAACTCAATGGAAGTTTTATCAGAATATATACATACACACACACACACACACACACATACACACACATATACATTTAGATTTTTTTTTTCTTCATACATACTTTTAAATAAGGCCTAACAAAACAGAAATCTATCTGTATTAATCTAATGTTAAGTATTTTTACAGGAAAATCTTATGATATTTAAACATATTATTCTTAAATTTTTGCATCCTGGTAAAACTGACGCACATAGAAGTTCATATTTTACTTATGCATGTAATAACGGCCACTATCATGCCTAACTTCTGGCTACCTTGTGTGCACATTCAAAACTGATCCCTTAAGATCAATTTTTTGGCACAAAGACCATTCTTGAAATGCCATTCCCTAGCTAACAAAATATAACCTAAATTTCTTTTTTCACTGACTATTCTCTATATTCCTGGATAATTAGAATAAGGTTTCTCATTCTCCCATACTTCAGGGTTCCTAGAATTGAAGACTTAGTCTTTCTCCTCCATATCATCTTGAATCATTACTCTTCACACCCTTGTAAAACTGCCTTGTTTTGTTGAGGTTTATGCAATTCTCCTAGCCACCCTCTTTCTTTCCTCATTACTTTCCTATGGACCCAAAGTTATGCTTTCCATTTATTGAAGACTCTGACATTTGCTTCTCTATTTCCTTTTCCGCTTACCCTAGGTAGCATCAGTGCTTTTGTGGTTGACCTTCAACATCCTAGTCATTCATTTCCTTGAGCTTCATACCTCTATAATTTTCTCTTCCAATAATACTCTTCTGTGCACACCCTGGACTTGGTAATGATTTGGAATTACTCTATCTGAATCATAACTTTGAAATTTATCACTATTCTTTTTTTTAAAATTTTTTTATTGAATTTTAGGTTTTGGGGTACATGAGCAGAACATGCAAGACAGTTGCTTAGGTACACACATGGCAGTGTGCTTTGCTTTTCTTCTCCCCTTCACCCACATTTGGCATTTCTCCCCAGGCTATCCCTTCCCACCACCCCCTCCCACTGGCCCTCCCCTTTTCCCCCCAATAGACCCCAGTGTTTAGTAATCCCCTCTCTGTGTCCATGTGCTCTCATTTTTCATCACCCGCCTATGAGTGAGAATACGCGGTGTTTCATTTTCTGTTCTTGTGTCAGTTTGCTGAGGATGATGTTCTCCAGATTCATCCATGTCCCTACAAACGACACGAACTCATCATTTCTGATTGCTGCATAATATTCCATGGTGTATATGTGCCACATTTTTCCAATCCAGTCTATCATCAATGGGCATTTGGGTTGATTCCAGGTCTTTGCTATTGTAAACAGTGTTGCAATGAACATTCGTGTACATGTGTCCTTATAGTAGAACGATTTATAGTCCTTTGGATATATACCCAGTAATGGGATTGCTGGGTCAAATGGAATTTCTATTTCTAAGGCCTTGAGGAATCGCCACACTGTCTTCCACAATGGTTGAACTAATTTACACTCCCACCAACAGTGTGAAAGTGTTCCTTTTTCTCCACATCCTCTCCAGCATCTGTTGTCTCCAGATTTTTTAATGATCGCCATTCTAACTGGCGTGAGATGGTATCTCAATGTGGTTTTGATTTGCATCTCTCTGATGACCAGTGATGATGAGCATTTTTTCATATGATTGTTGGCCTCATATATGTCTTCTTTCGTAAAGTGTCTGTTCATATCCTTTGCCCACTTTTGAATGGGCTTGTTTTTTTCCTGTAAATCTGTTTGAGTTCTTTGTGAATTCTGGATATCAGCCCTTTGTTAGATGGGTAAACTGCAAAAATTTTTTCCCATTCTGTTGGTTGCCGATTCACTCTAGTGACTGTTTTTTTTTTTTTGCCATGCAGAAGCTGTGGAGTTTCATTAGGTCCCATTTGTCTATTTTGGCTTTTGTTGCCAATGCTTTTGGTGTTTTGTTCATGAAGTCCTTGCCTACTCCTATGTCCTGGATAGTTTTGCCTAGATTTCCTTCTAGGGTTTATATGGTGCCAGGTCTTATGTTTAAGTCTTTAATCCATCTGGAGTTAATTTTAGTGTAAGGTGTCAGGAAGGGGTCCAGTTTCTGCTTTCTGCACATGGCTAGCCAGTTTTCCCAACACCATTTGTTAAACAGGGAATCCTTTCCCCATTGCTTGTTTTTGTCATGTTTATCAAAGATTGTATAGTTGTAGATATGTTGTGTTGCCTCCGGTGCCTCTGTTTTGTTCATTGGTCTATATCTCTGTTTTGGTACCAGTACCATGCTGTTTTGATTACTGTAGCCTTGTAGTATAGTTTGAAATCCGGTAGTGTGATGTCCCCCGCTGTGTTCTTTTTGCTTAGAACTGACTTGGCTATGTTGGCTCTCTTTTGGTTCCATATGAAGTTCACGGTGGTTTTTTCCAGTTCTGTGTAGAAAGTCAATGGTAGCTTGATGGGGATAGCGTTGATTCTGTAAATTACTTTGGGCAGTATAGCCATTTTCACGATATTAATTCTTCCTAACCATTAACATGGAATGTTTCTCCGTTTGTGTCCTCTGATTTCGTTGAGCAGTGGTTTGTAGTTCTCCTTGAAGAGGTCCCTTACGTTCCTTGTGAGTTGTATTCCAAGGTATTTTATTCTTTTTGTAGCAATTGTGAGTGGCAATTCGTTCTTGATTTGGCTTTCTTTAAGTCTGTTATTGGTGTAGAGGAAGGCTTGTGAGTTTTGCACATTGATTTTATATCCTGAGACTTTGCTGAAGTTGCTTATCAGTTTCAGGAGTTTTTGGGCTGAGGCAATGGGGTCTTCTAGGTATACTATCATGTCGTCTGCAAATAAAGACAATTTGGCTTCCACCTTTCCTATTTGAATACCCTTTATTTCTTTTTCTTGCCTGATTGCTCTGGCTAGAACTTCCAGAACTATATTGAATAGGAGTGGTGAAAGAGGGCATCCTTGTCTAGTGTCAGATTTCAAAGGGAATGCTTCCAGTTTTTCCCCATTCAGTATGATATTGGCTGTTGGTTTGTCATAAATAGCTTTTATTACTTTGAGATACGTTCCATCGATATCAAGTTTATTGAGGGTTTTTAGCATAAAGGGCTGTTGAATTTTGTCAAATGCCTTCTCTGCGTCAATTGAGATAATCATGTGGTTTTTGTTTTTGGGTCTGTTTATGTGGTGAATTACATTTATAGACTTGCATATGTTGAACCAGCCTTGCATCCCTGGGATAAATCCTACTTGATCATGATGAATAAGTTTTTTGATTTGCTGTTGCAATCGGCTTGCCAATATTTTATTGAAGATATTTGCATCTATGTTCATCATGGATATTGGCCTGAAGTTTTCTTTTCTTGTTGGGTCTCTGCCGGGTTTTGGTATCAGGATGATGTTGGTCTCATAAAATGATTTGGGAAGGATTCCCTCTTTTTGGATTATTTGGAATAGTTTTAGAAGGAATGGTACCAGCTCCTCTTTGTGTGTCTGGTAGAATTCGGCTGTGAACCCGTCTGGACCTGGGCTTTTTTTGTGTGGTAGGCTCTTAATTGCTGCCTCGACTTCTGACCTTGTTATTGGTCTATTCATAGTTTCAGCTTCCTCCTGGTTTAGGCTTGGGAGGACACAGGAGTCCAGGAATTTATCCATTTCTTCCAGGTTTACTAGTTTATGTGCATAGAGTTGTTTGTAATATTCTCTGATGATGGTTTGAATTTCTGTGGAATCTGTGGTGATTTCCCCTTTATCATTTTTTATTGCATCTATTTGGTTGTTCTCTCTTTTCTTTTTAATCAATCTGGCTAGTGGTCTGTCTATTTTGTTGATCTTTTCAAAAAACCAGCTCTTGGATTTATTGATTTTTTGAAGGGTTTTTCGTGTCTCAATCTCCTTCAGTTCAGCTCTGATCTTAGTTATTTCTTGTCTTCTGCTGGGTTTTGAGTTGTTTTGATCTTGCTCCTCTAGCTCTTTCAATTTTGACAATAGGGTGTCAATTTTGGATCCTAACCTTCCTTTGTAGCAATCTTAGTTACTTACAATTCATCAATATTTTTTATTTATTTATTTATTTTAATAATTTACTCTTCTAATCTTTGAATTCTTCCTCTTCATCAGTGGCCACTCTCACTGCACATGCATGAGTGGACACATACATGCATACACACACACACCCCTTTGCTTTTCTTGTGATCCTTAGTTTAATGATTTAAACAAAAAATTTAACTATATCTTGAACTCCACTAAATTCTCTTTCCCTGTATCTTTTTTATTGTTCATACTGGCTGAAATATAGGGAAGATATAACTATCTGAAAAAAAGGCTAACCTCCGCCCAGACCACTGAGGAATACTATACAAATGTTGAGGACGTACCTCTTCATCTAAGTCCTCAATTCTGCCCACCATTCCTGCTACATTCTTTTAATCCGTTTTCCATAATGACTATTCTAGTTTATTCAGTTTCCTCAAATTTCTAGTTCTCATCACCTGACATCTCATATTTCTACTACTTCAAAGAGATAATGTGATTAATGAATTAGATGACATTTCCTTCAACTTCCTGATACTGAGCTAACAGACCTACCTGCATCCATTCATGTCGTCAAGAGGAAGCCTACACTGTGTCCAAGTTTCCAGTCTGTTATATTGAACCATGTGAAAATGTCAGGATATGACAACTTTTGCTATCTGGTAAGCAAAAGTTGGGCCTGTGCCAAAGGTAATTTCATTTGGGTGAACCTAATATTTTAGAATTCACGATTATTCAAATATTACATGAGTCCAGTCCCTCTTCCAACTTCAGGCAATAATAAAATGGTTAGTTTATACCATTTTAAGTGTACTTAAAACTGTCCCATCCACCAGAAAACAAAAATTCTCCATCAACTCCATGTACCTTGATGACTTGTCTCTCTCTTCCCATCCATAAACTCATGAAAAAATTGTTAATACTCACTTTTTTCATTCACTCACTTCCAGTATTTTCTCCAACCCACATACATGCGATTTTATGACCCCACTACTCTGTTTCTTTTCCTATCATGATCACTAATGATTCTCTATTGCTTAATTCAGTCGATATTCTACATTTTTATCGTATCACCCTTTATCCTTTGTTATTGTATCACACTTCTTCTTCTTATCTTTCCTAATTTTCTCTGGTTTTTCAGCCATTCCTAAAAAAACCAATAGGTCAAAAGATTTTTTTTTTTTTTTAAGTGAATTGACCGAAAGGGAACTGATACACATGGTGAGAACATAAATATCTACAGCCATTATGGAAAATAGTATAAAAATTTCTAAAAAAGAAAAAAAATTAAAAAATAGAACTACCATATGATCCATCAATTCCACTACTGGCTATATATGCAAGGGAGAGCATCATGTTGTAAACAATAAAAAACATGCAATGTTACTATCAATTTAAAAATAAATAAACAGACAAATAGGAAAGAGAAATTAATTCTAAATAAGACAGAAAATGAGCACTTCAAATATAGCATTTGGTGCAGTCTTAAAGTTATGTTTTTCATAAGTAGAGAAGTGGAGGGAGGCAATTTTAGATGGGTCTTTAAGTTATGCTTTCCATTTATTGAAGACTCTGACACTTGCTTCTCTATTTTCTTTTTTACCCCAAGTCCTACACTTACCTTAGTGTAGGTTATCAGCCTAACAACGCAGGGGCCCATCTTCATTAATGTAACAGGTGTTTTGTTTATTTTGTTTTGTACCAAATAAAACATAAAATATAAAACTTTATAATTTGCATTTGCAAATTATAAAGTTTTAGTCTTAAAACAAATACTCATTTTAGAAATTTGTTATAGAAGATACATATATATATGTATATCTATCTATATAGATAGACGTTTCAGCAGGCATAAAAATATAGCACAGAAAAATTCTGTGAGTGACTTGATTTTTAAGTCTTGTTGTTTTTATAATTATTAAAATTAAATATTACTTTGAGAGTAGCTGACTGAATTCGTTAATCCACAACAATTCTTATAATTCAGGTTCACTATTTGATGGTAAACTAATAAATTATGATCGTGATTACTGAAATGCTCCCATTAGGAAGTAAATAGCAGTTTTGAGCAGATGACATGGAAGAACACACTGGTGTGGGGTCAGAGCACCTGATTTTGAATCAAGAATTCTCTAGTTGATAGCAATGTGTCATTAGGCCAGACCCAAGACTTCTGTGGACCTGTTTCTGTCTCTGAATTAGTACCCAGGATAAATACCGTGAGAACTACAACACAGTAAAAGGTTTTCATTGCTAATGGACCCAGTGGAGGCACCATTGCAAAGAGAGTTTAGTATATTAATGTAGGGTTTGATCATAACCCTTGTGCCAGAGGCACCTATGGAACAAATGGCCCACTTACTTTTTAGGGGTTTACTGTCCTTTTTTCCCTTGAATTCCTATTCAGGTGCCTGAGAACAGATCTAATAGAATGATTTATTGTGGCCTATTTGTAACCAAATGATTCTTTTCACCAAAGAGTTTTAGGTCTCTCCAAGAGGGATAATTATTTCCTGGTCTCTGTTCTATTGGGTCACAGCCCAGTTACTTGGTAGTCTCACTATCTTGAGACATATACCATGTAACTCAGCATCTTTCCCTCGTGATCTGCTGGGTGCCTCCACTACAAAGGGAGCTTTTCCATGGCTATTCCCCATAGTACTAGACGTTCCTAATTGCATTGCTACACACTACTTTTATGAGTTTTGGGGCTCTTTCAGGTTCTTGGATCTTGGATGAAAATAATAAAATTATCTCTTAGTATTTTCTGCTCAGCAAAATTTACTCTCTGTTTTCAAGCTTCTACTTTTCTCATGTGCCACATCTGTGTTAGAATCTATAATGACTGTACAGAGGAAAATGTTAATTAGTAGAAGACAGGAAACTTAGGTGGGCAAAACTAATCACTACTTTTATGTTTGGGAACAAATCTTTTTAGCCTCAGCTGCCTCAATTGAAAAATAGGCATAATTATATTTACCATATGAACTTTATATAGATGTTGGGTAGATCAAGTGTTATGGATATGTTAAAGACCTCTATAACAGTAAAGTGATGTATAAAAGTTGTTAATTATCATCGTTATAATTAGAGTGGCATGTACTTCATCCTTATACCTCACCCTTTGTTCTCCCAAGCTTGTTTGGAATAAGGTAGGCCAACCGTAAGTAAAGAACTGCACTCTACCTTCTCAGGGTCCCTGCATCTTTCTGACACCACCCTCATAAGACTGCTTACACTGTGCAAATGTATCAGACACAGGCAGAAAGAACTCCAACAATTAAGACAGCTTATCAGACATATGCAAATTCTAATATATATATATTTAACTGAAGCCACCCTGTGGCAGGTCTTTTCTGAGGATGAGTAAAATAAAAGTGGAGACGAGAACTATCTGGACAGAAATTCCTTCATTACAATGTAATTCCTTCATTACAACAGTGTTGATTGGAACCTCCACAATAAGCACGACTTCTATGTGGTGGCTCATCTGCTTTGGTCAGAGCAGCTATCAACTGCTTACACTTTCCGAACCATCTAGTTTTGTTCAGCTGGGTCAATCAGTCACAGCCACTCTAATCAAGTGTGATACAAGCTAACATTGAATGAGTATTTCCAATCTTTTCTTTCTCATAGTACCACAGTAGATATCATCTCTATTTTACAGATCAATAAACTCAGGCTTCAGTAAGTGATGCCAGGCCATATAACTTGTGAATGCTAAGCAAGGAATTCTGTCTGAAACAATCCAGGCTTTTTCTACCACACATGCAACCTCTATTCAGAGAGCTGGTGAGGCTGCTGTCACCAAACTCTTAAGAGGTAAATGTGGGAGAAATATTGCTTATTTTCTGTTCAACAATGTGAGATACACAGGATTGGCTGAAAGAGGTGAAATATCGTGTAAAAATGCATTCCTTTTCCCCAAATCCTATTGATGCATGTAATAGTATATCACTGCATTGTCTTCAAACATCTTTCTTATATGTCTGACTCATGATAGTGTTCAATGTAAATATGAAGATGCAACCCAGTAAGCATATTTTATTTTTTTGAGATGGACTTTTACTCTTGTCGCCCAGGCTGGAGTGCAGTGCTGTGATCTCAGCTCACTGCAACCTCCACCTCCTGAGTTCAAGTGATTCCCTCACCCCAGCCTCCTGAGTAGCTGGGATTACAGGCATGCACAACCACACCCTGCTAATTTTTGTATTTTTAGTAGAGACAGAGTTTCTCCATGTTGGCCAGGCTGGCCTTGAGCTCCTGACCTTAGGTGATCCACTGCCTCAGCCTCCCAAAGTGCTGGGATTACAGGCCTGAGCCACAACACTTGACTCACGACCCAGTAAATCTAATATACAGCATGTTAACTATAGTTAATGATACTTTATTGTATATCTGAAATTTGCTAAGAATGTAGATATTAAATATTCTTACCATACACACACAAAAATGGTAAGTATATGAAGTGATAGAAATGTTAGTTTGGTTGTAGTAGCACTTTCACAGTGTATACATATATCAATTATCCTGTTTAACACCTTAAAAATGTATTGTTTTTTATGAGTCAGGGTCTTGTTCTGCCACCCAGGCTGGAGTGCAATGAGGTAATCATAGCCCACTGTGGCCTCAAACTCCTAGGCTCAAGGGACCCATCTCAGCCTCCCAAGTAACTAGAACCACAGGCACACACCACTTTGCCTGTAGAGTGGGTTTTTGTTTTGTTTTGTTTTGTTTTTGTAGAGTCATGGTCTCATTGTGTTGCCCAGCTGGTCTCAAACCCCTGGACTCAAGAGATCGTCCTGCCTTGGCCTCCTAAAATGTTGGGATTACAGGCATGAACCACCACTCCTAGGATACATTTTTTATTTGTCAATTATACTTTAATATAGCTCAAGGGGAAAAAGACGCAGACTAGTAAATAGACAGCTCTCAGCCTCATTCTTGCTTGCTAGACAACAGTAACCTAGAGATGTGATAAGTTACGTACAGACAAGATTGCATGGATCAGTGGAATATCAAGAAAACCATCTTGGATATTAAGAGAACATGAGAGTTTTTCCTACTAATTATCTATATAATTGTCTTCAATTCTTGTTTTCCCTATTCAAAGTGATTCTGACCAATGGTAGGAGAAGACTGGAGCCCAGTCTTTTCTCTCCCTATCTCATATCCCCTTCACTGATATTGCATGGTCTCTGAAGAAAACAGAATGTATTGCCCACTTTGAGCCAAGCACTGTGCTAAACATTAATGTAGTGAGAAGAGCAAAAGGAGAGAACATTGACCCAAAATGAGATGTAAGAACAGCACAACACAGCACAGCAGATGTTAGTGAGAGCTTGTGTGTGTTCTGTTCTGGTTGTTTCTGTTTTCT